ACTTATTTATGTGTTGCAGTGTACCCTTGCAATGCACCTATTGCAGTGCATATTAAATGTGCTGGTAAAGACCCTTGCAATGCCATCTGATAGTGAACCAAGATGTGACTAAACCTCCACAATCTCCTATCAACACAATCATGGGATACCATGAGCCTAATTGAAATTGTGTCGGATGTCACAGGAGCACTATTTATAGATAAAATGGTTTACAAAAAAAAAACCCAACTTTTTCCACGTCAGGAATCGCATTTCCGTTTAGCAATATAGGAATTAACGAAGTTCTACAATAGGTCAAAGAGATATAATGAACTGGATATTCCTTATACTTTTGGATACCATCGGATTTCTCGATGACCAAAACCCTACTCACACGAAAATCTAGTAACCCTTGGAATCCATCCCTAGAACCCACCTTGGTCTCATAGGACTAATATTCTTGGGCACCATATAGTAATCTCATGAGTGCTCTGAAATTGGTACGAACATTGTACAGTGATCAAAGCTTCACCTTCATCTCTCTAGATGAATTCTCTTTGGTACCTGATCATCTTGCGTGCCTTGAATTCCTTCTTGAGCTATGTAGAACCACCTGACAACCAAAGTGGATTGCTTCAATCGCCGTACCTCCGGTGAAGCCTTTGGTTTCTGCTAGATGCCTCTATAGTCACCATAATTTTCCTTGGGTGCAGCGACTCATCCAGCACATGCATGGCTAGTATGACTTTCATTCTCTATTTCTCTCAGGGTAGCGAACTAGCGACCTGATTCATAATCCAAGAGAAAAGCACATGCATGGCATGGCTAATGTATACAACAGACCAGTCTTTCCCGGCTAATTGCTCTCCCTAAACAAACACAACGTCGCCGGCAAACAGGACATTCCAGAAGACCAGAACTCTTCACCTGCCAAGGCTGCTGCCATGGTACAACAAACGTTGAAGGTTGAACGCGGAACGGGCACAGAAAATGGCCCAATCATCCGGGAGAGCCGCCCGAATCTGGCCCCCTTCCGAGTTCCGTGCTCCAACCTCGCCGGCAACGACAACCCACGACGCCTCATGGGCCCTTCCTTCCTCGCTCCCGCCTCCACTCCGCAGCTCCCACCGCAAGGCTCAACTGAGCCGACCCCACCCGTCCGGTCCGCGTGCCCGTCTCCCGTTGGCCCGCGCCGCGCACCACATCACATCAAATAAGCGAGCCACCGGCGCCCAACGACTTGCCAAATCCCGTGTGCCGCCGCGCCCGAGCCCACACCCCAACCACATACGAACCAACGTTCCCCCGGGCCCTCCAAGGAAAACCGCGTGCCGCGCCCGGCCGCCCGCCACGTTCCCACGCGCCAGGCGCCACTAAATCAGCAGCGCCTGGCCGCCCGGAGCTCCCAGAAGCGGCAACAACAAAGCAAGCAGCAGCAGCCAGTAGTAACAGTAAGCAGCAGAAACCATGGCGAGATCAGGGCGGGAAGGGGAGGAACGGAAGCTGGTGCTGGGCAAGTACGAGCTGGGCCGCCTGCTGGGGCAGGGCACCTTCGCCAAGGTCTACTACGCGCGGGACCTGAGCGCCGCCGGCGCCGGTGGTACGGGCAGCAGCAGCAGCGTGGCCATCAAGGTGATCGACAAGGCGCGGCTGCAGCGCACGGAGGGGATGGTGGAGCAGCTGCGGCGGGAGATCTCCATCATGCGGATGGTGCGGCACCCCAACGTGGTGGGCATCCGGGAGGTGCTCGCCAGCCGCTCCCGCGTCTTCGTCGTCATGGAGTACGCGCGCGGCGGGGAGCTCTTCGCCAAGGTGGCCCGGGGCCGCCTCACCGAGGACCACGCGCGCCGCTACTTCCAGCAGCTCGTGGCCGCCGTCGGCTTCTGCCACCGCCGCGGCGTCGCGCACCGGGACCTCAAGCCCGAGAACCTGCTTCTGGACGAGGACGGCCGGCTCAAGGTCACCGACTTCGGGCTCGCCGCGCTGCCCGAGCAGCTGCGCCACGACGGCCTGCTCCACACGCAGTGCGGCACACCCGCGTACGTCGCGCCCGAGGTGCTCAGGAAGCGCGGCTACGACGGCGCCCGCGCCGACCTCTGGTCCTGCGGCGTCGTGCTCTACGTCCTGCTCTGCGGCTTCCTCCCGTTCCAGCACGACAACTACGTCAAGATGTACCAGAAGATCTTCAAGGCCGACTACCAGGTGCCGCCCTGGGTCTCCGGCGACGCGCGACGCCTCATCGCGCGACTGCTCGTCGTCGACCCCGCCAAGCGCGCCTCCATCGCGGAGATCATGTGCACGCCGTGGTTCAGGAAGGGCTTCGTGCCGCCAGTCCTTCCACCCCCGGTAACGCCCCCCAAGAAATGGCTGGACGAGGACCACGACGCCGGCGGCGCCCTCTTCGACACCGGCGACGACGACGACAACAGCAGCAGCAACTCTGCTGGCACCACCACCTCGCCTCGGTCCTGCAACGCGTTCCAGCTCATCTCCTCCATGTCCTCCGGGTTCGACCTGTCGGGGCTGTTCGAGAACGAGCAGAAGGCCGCCACCGTGTTCACGGCCCACGCGCCGGCGGCCACCGTGGTGGAGAAGCTGGAGTCCGTAGCACGCGCCCTGGGGTTCGAGATCACCAGGGGGAAGGGCTGGAAGGTGAGGATGGAGGCCAAGGTCGGGGGCACAAACGGGCGGCTCGCGGTCACCGCCGAGGTGCTCGAGGTGGCCGTGGACGTGGCCGTGGTCGAGTTCGCGCACGACGCCGGGGACGCGCTGGACTTCAACAAGTTCTGCGCTGTGGACGTCCGCCCGGGGCTCGCGGAAATCGTCTGGGCGTGGCAGGGCGACAGCCCGCCCGCGCCGGCCGCCGTCGTCGGAACCGCGTGAACAAAAACGGCCCGTTCGTCCTGGCGTCCTGTCTATGATGTAAAAGTTGTAGCGACTTTGCGTAGGAGTTACACGGCTGCACTGGCACCAGCTTCTTGTAGCATGTATATGTAAAGTTTTCGTTGTTGCTTCGAGACAGCCATGGCTAGTTTGTTATGCGTCATGTGTTGTACAGCAAGAGAACAGGTGCACAGAATTAAAGAGAGGTGTTTTGTCGACACGACACACGAGAGTCGAAGCGAGCCGGTGGGTGCTCGATCGGCTTGCAAAGTTTTGTACGATTAATAATCTGAATTTTGTGGAGATGTGTACATACAAAATTTTGTTCATGATCAAATCAATTTAGTTTTGGTCCCCATATAATTTTTGCCCATCTGAATGATTGCGCCATTCACAATTAAATCAATTATTACTATGTCATTTTCACAGGATCTAGGTTGTTCTTGAACAGCGATGGCTATTCATACAAGTTTTCGAGTACTACCACCAGATATTCAACAAGGTGGAAATTTTGGTGTTCCATAGTTAATTACACGATGATGATTTAGGGTCCATGCAATTCTTTGATATTTTTCTTAGAATCTTTTTCTTGTGAAGGTGATCATTGTAGTAGTCCCTATAATAAGCTTGCTCTTGTGTCATATTTGAAATTGATTATGGCACTGGCTTTGTTTTTTTGTTCAATTGATTAAGAAGATGCACAACTCATAATGATGTCAAGTAGTAGTCAAATGGCCTTTCGCCCTTTCCCAACCCCCAAGTTAAATTATTGTTGCATTTTTTTGGTTGGAACCTAATAATTGTGCCTGTGTATTATTGATAAGGAAAAATAGAGCACCATTAATATGATCTTTGAGAAAAATAAAGTAAGCTGAGTATCAGATAGTACGAAAGTAGAGTACTTTACCAAAAGAATGCTGCATAGTATGATTTGATTGCCTGTCTTAATGTAGTTTATACCAAATAATGTACATAAAAAATGACAAGAGAAAAAAGAATCCAATCAAACAAAGCCATCCAAACCACTGTAGGCAGAGCTTAGAACTCTATTTGGCATTGGGGAGCTTTTCCCTCTTGGCGCGTGGGGGAGTATTGTTTGTTTCCATTCAGACTGGCTTTGAGCATTATGAGCTGTTTTTTTTTAAGGTCAACGGAGGAGAGAATCCCCACCTAATTTCATTCATTCATCATTGTGCAGTCGCCCAATACGGTGCAGGTTAATTCTCCCTTGCGTTTAACGACTAAATGTAGGTAGCATGAAGCTCTTCCAGACGAAGTTGGCCGCAGGGTGAGGGTCGACACTCTTGGATTTGAGGAGTTACTATAAACCACACACTTCCAACTTCCGAGTATGTGTGCTACATGTTGAAATGGAGTACCATCATTTAGACATTTACGAAAAAAAATGCATGCATATTGCATCCAACATGTCTCAATGCATACATGTCATGAATAGTTGTCATGTGTCCAGTCAACACGATCCAACCGCACGTGCTCCACCATGCGCCGTTTGATCGTCTTGATCGGACACATGGCAACTATTCATGGCATGTATGTACGGAGGCACGGTGGTTATCGTTTGCACCGATTTTTTTTTCACATTTACCACTTGTATTGCACTTCAGTGAACTCTGAGAAGTCGCGTGTGACAATCGCCGCTAGAGGCGTCAAAGAGAGTCCTCAAGCGGCCACGCTCGCGACGGCGACACTTGTAGAGCACTGCACATACAAAGACCTTTTTCACCGTTGATATATATCTTGCTCTTGCTGGAATAGGATGACAGATCCCCGGTGCTACCTTGCGTGCCATCCGGGAATTTCTCAAGGAGCGAATTTCTCAAGGAGCAACTGAATCTAGAGGTAGCACGTGCCCGCAGTGCGCCATTGACGTCGTCAAGGCCTCGAGGATCATACAAGAAGGATGGAAATAAAGAGGTACTCCTTTCATCCGTCCCAATAAAAGAGTCGTTTTAGGGCTCGACCCGCGTACCAAGGAGGGAGGAGGAAAGACTTGTATACCCCTATATGTTGTCTCTCTCTCTACGCCCGTTCTCTATCCGTCCCAATCCAGATCTGGCGCAGGGCACCGCCTGTTGGCATGAGGTCTGCGCTCTCTCTCACCGGTGGCTTCACTTGGCATGGGGTGTCTCCCAGCACTGGCGCCCTCGCTCGCCCTCGCCGGCGACCTCGGCCGGCCTCACTGGCGGACTCTCCCAGTGCGGCGACTGCGTGAAGAAGATGGGAAGAGGAGGTGCCTGCAAGCATGTCGAGATGGAGACGGAGGAGGTGCCTGGCGTGCAGCCCGCAACCGTCCTCGCCCCAGCGCCGGTGATGGCGGACCTCGGTGACGCGGCCACGGCCAGACGACCGGAGAGCAAGCCTCCTCCTCGTCGGCGCGTGGGCCCTCGCTAACCTCCGCCTCCGCCTCCTCGCCGCCCCGTGCGCCAGTGGATCCGGACGGCGCGGGGGCCACGCTCTCTCTCGTCGGCGGCCTCGCCTAGCTCGGGGGCCTCTCCGAGCACCAGCGGCCCCGTCCTTGCAGGTGGCTTCTCGCAGCGTCGGTGCCGGCACCGCACCACGCCGAGCCCCACACTCGGCGGCGCAGGTGAAAAAGAGGAGGGAGGGCATCGTCGGAGGGGAAGAAGAGGGTGGACGCGCCGCCTCCTTGCCCAGCGACCTTGCGTCAAGGCCGCGCCGACCGGGTCTTCTCCGCCGTGCAAGGATGCCAGGTGGGTGGGAGGGAGCAGTGAATGACGCTCTAGTGTAGGGAGCAAGGGCTAGTGGATGGTGCAGTAGATGGGCCCCTAGCCTAAAACGACACTTTCTACGGGACATATGCCTTATTCGCTCGAGGAATCTGGATAAATTTGAAAAAAATTATAAAAGGATAAATAATATTTTTCATCTATAAACAGTATTTTCAGGCTGAATTTTAGGGCAGCCGAACGGCCCCATAGTTTGAATCCTAGAAACGATGCTTTTACTGGGACAGAGGGAGTAAAGAGATAGGGCTCTTTCCTGATGATGTATTTAGGACGACTCTTGATGGACACGCAGCTATACCTGTATGTGCTGTTTCTCAATTCCTCAAGTTACTGATTATGTCACTGTCATTTGCGTGATTTGGACACTGATGACAGATAGGCTTCAGACTCGAAGTTCGGGCTGTGGTTAGCCACTGAACTTTTCCGATTCATCCAGTTTGGATAGGCGCTAGCTGGCCATAATAAGCACGCGCGCGACATCGGCAAACACTGTGACGTCTAATCTTGTGGCTCTTTTGCGGAAGGAAATGCATGTGCAGCTCATCGTCGATTTAGACGTTTTCCTAATGACTCGCAATGCAGCCCTATACCAGAAGAGCAAGTAAATGACACGCTGCTTGGCTGCTGCAGCGCTCGCTTGCTGATCTAATCTTTCTATCTGCAGGAGATGACGAAACAGCTCTCGGGACAGACAAGGGCTACCGACAATCCGACTTGGCACTACCGAAAAGCAGGCGCAGGTGGGCATTTCTTGCAGGAGCTCAGCAGCCTGCAGAGATCTGCATAGCATATCTCCAATTCAGATGGAGAGCTCGAGATGCCTAAACGGAACCCCCCCGATATGTGTCTAATCTAATAACAGTGTAGGTTCAACACATACTGTATGGCTGCTACTGCATCAGGCGATCAAGATCATGTGAATCACGAACAGCATCGATGCTGCGCGTCTCGAAACGTGGCAAAAAGAACCTTTGACGGGTTCACAACGATGAACTTCAAGTAATCAACTGGAGATCTGAATATCTCCTCTGATGGGTCTAGGCTCGGCAGCTAGGCTTTTTCCTTGTGTGTGGGTCCGGCAGCTAGGCTTTTTCCTTGTGTGTGGGTCCGACCGTCTTGTCCGGGGAGCCTTATCCACTTATCCTTATATCTCTTGTGCCCATAAGCCCGGACTCTGCACAAGTACGTTATTAATTAATTATTAATGTGGCTGCTAGTAGGGCGGGTATAATCATATACTAGACAAATGTGTGCGTATGTACATGAACGTCTGTATTTGTATTACGTTTGGTAAAAAAATCAAGCTAACATCTGCCGCTATATAACGTTATCTATTTGTTTGGGCTATTGCAAGTAAGGCCATCACTCAGGACAATGGATCATGCTAACTATGCAAAGGCCAGGAATGATATTGGTAGCAAGCAGGCCAATGGAAAATGGGGAGCCCCCTATGGCTGGTGCATCGATGGAAAATGGGAGCCCCCCTACGGCTGGGTGAGGGAGAGAATTTTTTTTAATTTTAACACTTTTTGAAAACTAATTTTAAATATAACACGGTCGGGTTTTTTTAAACTAACATTTTTGGCCGCGCTTATTGCCCTAGCGCGGCCAAATACTAATGTCGCGCCATGCATTGTGGGCGCTGACAGGGTCGACGTGGCGACGACCGGAATCACGATCACGACGGGGAGACTCCGCGCGCCACCGATCATGGCGCTGCGGCCTTTGTCGCTACTCGATCCGTGGTGCGTGTAGAGTCGAATAAAACCCCGCGCTTGATCCGCACGCCCGAGAAAAGCAAGGCCGCTGGCGGCCGCTGTGCGTCGTCTCGCCGCGCCAGCCACACGGCACGAGCACGCCCGCCACGCCACCACGCCATGAATGCCGGCAGCCCGGCCCCCGCCTGGCCCTCCATTGCCACCTCCCTCCCTTCCCTTCCATTCCCCGGCCGCCTCCCTCCCTCCTCGTCCTCGTGCAAGGTAATGACGCATATTTTATTTTCGTTTGAATGGTGGATATTATATTATGAATGGGAGCTAAGTTTATGAGGAAAATTATGTTTGGGAACTATGGTCTATGGTTTGAAGGAAGATATTAGTTTGATTTTGTCAATGTTAAGGTTAATTACTTAGTTAGAAGTATGTTTACCATGTATATTTTTGTTGCTATAATTGTCAGTTATATTATTTTAGTTGCATTGCAAATGATTATATTTTACATTAATTTGCGTTGTTTTTTATTGATGTTTAATTTGAACCGTTTTATTAGATGGAAGACATGTTTCGGGAGCAGTTATGGCGAAAACGGGGTCGTTCTAGAGAATTGTACCTCGACGAGTCTAGCAAAGATGCCCCCATCCCTCCTGAACTCCCTGTCCCTAACTGTGACTGTGGTCGTCCGGCCGACGTGTTTCAATCGAGACATCCGGACACAGCGGCTCGTTGCTTCTACACGTGCAATCGTTTTAATGTAAGTAATTGTTTTCGTATATTTTTTCTTCATTTGTATTAGTAGGTTACTAATATTTTGTTGAATTTTTATTGTGTAGGACCATGAGAGGTGCCTTTTCTTTCAGTGGATCGACGGTGCAGACAAGTTTGACCCTAGGTACTTCCTTTTCGACGATTGGTGGAGAGGGTGACATCCACGAGAGCACTTCGAGTGGATTCCACCCCCCCTAACCCCCCTCCAATGACGGCTAAGGAGAAGCACTTAGCCATAGTTAGACGACTCGATGAACCTCCTCTATGCCATTGCGGAGACCGAACCGTGATAAACCCTAACAATACGTTGGAGTTTGTGTGTCCAAACAAGCATGAAGTAAGTGCAAAGTGTATGTGTTGAAATGTTGAGCTATATGTGTCATGTACTAATGTCACGTTATTTAGGTGTATTCAATGGTGAAGTGTCGTTTTAAGGAGTGGTTGTATGGTCCTAAGAGCAAATGGCCCGAAGAACCTCCAAAAGCAAAGCAAAAGAAAAAAGAAAGGTTAATTTACAAAGCACCGCCAGTCAAGTGCGAATGTGGTGTTAAATCCAACTACGGTCTAGTCCCTTTAGAGCTTGGAATATTCCATTATTGCGGCCATATGATTGACTATGATAAGGTTGGTTATTTTTGTGGTAACCATGAAATCGTATTTTGTTTCTTTTGCTAAGACATATATGATATAATTTATCGTTTGAACAGAGCACTAGGAAATGTAGATGGGAATGTTATAATGATCAAGCTAAGTTCTTGGATAAACTGAAGGGGAAGCAAGTAATTGCATGAAAGAGGGGATATGGATCTGACTATGTCAACCTTTTCGTTAAACATCACAAAGACAAGATGCGTGAATTTGCTAGACAGCGCGGTATTTGTAACCCGATCGACGTTGGGCTTGTCAAATGGGGATTGGAGAGACGGATGACATTAGAGGAGGAGAGGGCAAGGAAGGAGACAAGGGAGGAGACAAGAGTACAGATACAGGTCTTGAACAAGCATGTTGTTTCATTATGTGCCAGTGAGTACTTCGAAGCTTTTTTTTCATTGCCTGATTTTAAATGTAATATAGTCGTGTTGCTAACTAATTGCATTTTATACATGAAAGGTGGCTCATGCAAGGTACGAGGATGAGCATAGAAAGCAAGCTGAGTCGACCGTTGAATCACCGATTGTGTTGCGATGAGGGGGACGAGGATGAGGATGGACCATGTTGCAGGTGGCTCTAGTTTGGTTTGGTGAATTGATGAAGGTAGTGCTAACCTAGTTTAAAGAAGTTAGATGAAGCAAATGAAGATCATAGCATGATGATGATGATACCATGATGATGATCAAAAGAAGAAAGAGAAAACAAAAGCTCAAGAAAAGGTATAAACCATAGGAGCTATTTTGTTTTGGTGATCAAGACACTTAGAGAGTGTGTCACATTTAGGATTGATAGTTGTACTATTAAGAGGGGTCTCGATGGGGGGCGAGGATGAGTGCCACTAGATGCTCTAACTCATTGCATATGCATTTAGGATCTAGTGGAGTGCTCATCGCTGAAAATATGCTAACACTTGTGCACAAGGTGATACACTTGGCTTGTACATTTACAAAGGAGGGATGAGGTGTTGAGATGGGTTTGGGTCCCTCTCTGAAAATGGAACGCCTATTTTCTATTATGCCGGATGAAAATTCTTGGTGGTTAGCACATTTGAGCAAGGATGAAGAAGTTAGAGTTGAAATAGAGTTGGTCGAAATGATCTTTGGCGCTCTACTTCACTCGATGACCGGGATGAAAGGTTGCGTCGTCGGTCGTAGAGCAACCTGATAGGTTGAGCAGGTGTCCGGTCAAGGTGGACCGACGTCCGGTCAAGAAATAGCCGAGGAGCTTATCGAAACGACCTCACTGACGCGGGGCTTCAGCGTCTCGTCGCTTTTTGCTTGGCGAGCGTAGCTTCAGAGCTAGTTGAAATAACGAACAGCTTTGAAGCCGGTGACGCGGGCGTCCATCGGGCGGCGTCCGGTCGAGCGCTGCTTTGCCCAAAGTGAAGAGGACGGCTCTATTTGATTGGGGCTCTATATATAGCCCCATGCTGGCGCTCAGGCGAACTCTTGCACATTTTCATTGACATAGTCCATCATTGATCCATCATCATTGTGAGATTGGGAGAGAATCCAAGTGCATTGCTTGAGTGATTGCATCTAGAGGCACTTGGTATTCGTATCGTGTCATGGATTTCGCTTGTTTTCTCTTGGTGGTTGCCACCACCTAGACAGAGAGCAGCTGAAGCCATGAGTTGGTGATTGTTAGGGTTGTGGTTGAGGGAGTTGTACCTTCCCGGCAGAGTACCGAAAGGTAACTCTAGTAAATTGCTCGTATCATTGAGTTACCTCACTTGGGTCGGTTCGGTTCTTGTGGACGATTGTGTGATATTGTTTGGACGAGGTTTTGAAATACCTCTTAGTCAGCCGAACCACCAAGTGTTGTTGGTCTTAACTATTGTCTCTTCCTCCTTGGGGACTAGCGTGTTGGCAAGCACGTGAACCTCGGGAGAAAAATCGGTTGTCTCTTGTCATTTGCATTTGGTGATTGGCTATATATATTCATCTTGTAATTGGTTTTTCTACTTACTCATTTACATTTCCATAAACTAGATATAGCAAGCTCTTTAGTGTAATTAGAATTGAGAGCTTTAGTTCCATCTGCATTTGTGAGAGCTCTTAGTGAGTAGTGGTCAAGTAGATTGTGTGCCAATAGATCATTGCAACTAGAATGTTGGAATGTAGCTATGTAGTAGAAATTCCATTGTGTTGTCTTATATTCCATTTGCTCTAGTTGATTTATAGTTTTTAAATGTATTGTCACCCATGTATCATATATTAGGATTACCATGATCGATCTTAAGTGATCACATTTGTTTGTATTAGGCGTTCAAAATTTCTAAAATGAGGCGTAATGCGGGGAGGAGGAGGATGAAATTATCTCGAAGGCCGCTTACTATAGGCTTAAACCGTAGGGTGAGCCTAGCCACAATAGGGTTGTGGTTGAGGATTGGTACTTGGACGACGAGTTGCCATAGCCTAAGGGTTTTCGCGCGCCATGCTTTATTAATGACAATGTAGCTATGTAGTAGAAATTCCATTGTGTTGTCTTATATTCCATTTGAATCGATGTATTGTACCCATGTATCATGAAAACCCCATGATCGATCTTAAGTGATCACATCTGTTTGTATCATGCGTTCAAAATTTCTAAAATGAACGTAATCGGGTGAAATTACAACATCCATAGCCCATCTTCAATTGAGTTGTTGTCGGTGTTGTGCCATAAAACTACAAGTGGTGCACAAAACTA